AAATCCATCTACCCTCATATTCTTAAGTGGATAATCACATCTTAGACTCATTGGACCCTTATTATTGTATATACTTACATAATGCTCTAACCCTTAACTTTGCAAGTCAAAAACAATATATGAGATGACTGATATCTCATTGCCATTTGTCATTTGGTACAAAAATTACCCATTCTCTGCCAAAACTTTTCTGTAATCCCCCTATATTCTTGGATAACTTAAAGGATTCCATAAAGGTATGCATTAACTCCAAAACCCAAAAGAAAATGAATTACCCTTTGAAAAATCCATACCTGCAGAGTTGAAATAATGAACCTCTTGTGGGGCATCTTAACTCAATAATGAATTCTCATAGGTTTAATAAGGACATTCATTTTATTTAACCAAGTAAAACTAAATTAGTAAGAATAAGTTGAACAATTCAATTCTCAATAGAAAATATTTCATTTCTAATATTTAAATTGATAATTATTATCACCATTTAATGTTTGTAATTTAATTGATAATATATTCTCTAATATTTTCATTAATGAAACAGATAGTTTTTCAGACAAATGACAGATTTTCTTTTACTTAAATTCCAAAATTTAACTTTATAATTTTATTAAAAATAAACTCAACCCATCTAATTTCCCTTTAATAATTATAACAATTAATTGTATCTCAATTAGTATTTTAAAATTATTAACATTAAATTAAAAGAAAAAATCCAAAAAAAATTAGAATTGTTACAGCCATAATTTCTAGTTTAATCTTTTTAAATCAGTGGATAACCTATCAAGAAAGTGGGGAAATCTGGATATATAAGATTAGCGACAGTAAATGTTTGTGGGATTTTAATCACTCTTATTGTGTAGATTTGAATTGATTCACTAATCATTAAATATAAAACAAAAATTTGAGCCTTATCCAAATATTAATCAATTTAATAAGAAAGTGCTTTCTAAATAAAATCAATTTCACTTTAAAAAGACTTCTTTCCTTCACATCTTTTTCAATCTGATTTAATTACCTTCCTACATTATTTATCATCTATCCAAATTTACTCTGTATAACAAAATAAACCATTTATTTTCCCCCATTCAAATTGCATAATTATTCAGTTAAAAATTTCAACAGTTATTTGATGATATCAAATTTTTAAAAATTATTTTCAGGAATATGGCTTTTTGTGAAATGAAATAATCTGTAGCTACAATTATTTTAAATAATGATCAATTTAAAAAATTACTTTAAGTAGAGCTTTTATGATAATCCAAAAAAAACTTCGCTCTTAAAAAATTACATTGATGAAGATTAATTAGTATTGCATATTTAATGTAAAACAAAAGTAAGATCTCAACTATTCATAATTGAATATCTAATTTAGGTAGATTATACTTGATACGAGTCACCAGATATCAAGTTAAAATATTTCTCTAAAGACTTTTTGAGAAACAATTATTTATGCTTAATGATCTCAAAATGGATGTTGAAGAATGTGTCATTGTGAATGTCCCCTGAGTATCGCAAGTTCCACACTTGCTGAGCAGGAGTGTTTGAATATCTCTGTGTTGTCTATAAGGGGTAGGTTGAAGTTCCACAGGGGTC